GTTTCCATATGAGTAGAGATTAAAAAGTCTGGGACTATAAAGCTTGGAAAAGAGATGAGTAAGGGGGAATATGGTAGATATCTACAAAATCATGACTGGTGTGGAGAAAAGGAATAAGGAAGTGTTATTTAACCCTTACAGAACACAAGAACCAGGGGTCTTCTGATGAAATTAATAGGCCTCGGGTTAAAAATAAACATAAGGAAGTGCTTTCTCACAGCATCCATCAGTCTGTGGAACTCATTGCTAGGGCATGTTGTGAAGGCCACGAGTGGAAACGGTTTCAAAAAAAGAAGAGGTCAGTCGGATAGGTCCATCAATGCGCTTAGCCAGGATGGCCAAGGATGCAACCCCCATGCTGCGGGTGTCCCTCCACCAGATCCTGAGTTTGGGCGGCTATTAATGGAGCAGCTGATGATTGCCCTGTTCTATTAATTTCTTTTGAAGAATCTGGCATTGGCCACTGTGGGAAGACAAAATATTGGGCTAGATGGACCACTGGCCCGACCCAGCATGGCCATTCTTAAGTTATGAGGAGATCTGGAGTAGGCATGGATGTTTCTGGAATATTTTCCAGTTTTTCTCTTCTGAAGGAAAAGCTCAGTGGTGTCACACAATGCTGTACGTATTGTGGGTCTACTATGCAGGTTCTTGTCTTCTAAGCTCATAACTTTGTTTGATGAAATAAGATGCAGTTCCAAGTGAACAGATTTCCTTCATGCAACCACCCACCGTCAGTGTTTGCTTTAATTGCTACTAGCACTGGCGTTTTCAAGAGGAAGAGTTTTCTGATCACTGACAACTCTTTAATCTAGCACACAAAAGGCATAATGAAAGCTAGATGTGAGACAAAGTCAGAGTAAAAACAAGACACATGTTTTCCGTGAGGGTAATTAACTAATGGAACGACTTAACTAGGCATGCGGTGGATTTTCCATCACTTGCAGACTTTAATTCAAGACTGGATGTCTTTGTAAAAGATGCTAAAGCTCAACCAGAAATTACAGGCTTGATGCAAAAGTTCTTTGAGGTCCTCTGGCCTGTGTTATGCAGGAGATCAGTAAAGATTATCTGAGTTGATTCATCCTGGCCTTAAAAACTCTGTCTTCTCTCAGTAAGCTTGGCTGGGCATTGGGCAGGAAAGTTCCATGTTGCTGCTGTCCGTCTTGTTCTTTGGCTCCCACCAATGGAGGTTGCCATTCTCCAGGGCTCTTAACCAGGCACCTCACAGCTTCCTTTGATGTGCTTTAAAACTGAAGTTTAAAGAAAAGGCATAACAAAAATATTTTTGTTCTTATTATTATTTATTTTTTGGGAGATAGGAAACTCTATCAAGGTATTTGGGCCATCATGGTCTAAGAACTCATCTCCTCTGTTTTTCCTTTGTGGCCTACAGTGTGCTTAACCCAATGCATTATGCAATTAGTTTCTTGATGATATCTTATTTGCCTTTGAAGTAGAATCCCAGCTCCCTCTGGATATAAATATGCAGCATTTGCAATTGAAAGAAAAAAGGGTTTCTGAAACATGCATGTTTATTTATGTCTGCTGATTATTTCAAGCCCTCTTTCTTCAACAGGAGAGGGAAGGTTTGGACCTGGGGCAATTTTTTCCGGTTAGAGGTTTCCACATGGGGAAAAACAAATAAACTCAGTGGTAGCATCCCCAACTCCTGCACCTAATGACATCAGACTTCCAGACAGTGCGGAAATGGAATTAATTTGTTGGTGATTGACAAAAAGAGCCACTAACTACCTAATTCAGACATCTGGGTCAAAATTATACCAGTGTGGCCTTTGCCAGCCACATACATTTTAAATTAAATTAGACTATTTGTATCAAACTATTTTCCCCTTAAATTGAATTACAGAATGTTTCTGTTTAAAGGAGATTAAATTAAATGTAGGGCCTGAATACCAGGAGGTCCAAACAATGAAACTGCATTTTCAATTATATGGGCAGGACCATGTCAAAAGAAATTCTGTTTTGGATCCATCAGCCCGAGAAGCTGTTTCATTCTGAGTCACTGTCTTGTACTCAAGGAGTTAAGTGCTTTCGTTTTGCTCTGCATCCTTGTTTCCACCCTTCCTTTACTGCCTGCATCTGGTTCCAGGGCTCATGCAGCTAGTCACCACTGAGACACTGCTGTTGCTGCCAGCTTTGACCTCTGGACCCAGGTGCTGCTGAGTCGGGTTCTGGATGCAAGGATCACTAGCTCTGAAAGACATTAGTTGTCTACTCTCAGATCTGGAGTAGACATTCAATCTTCTTGGCTGTTTCGCTGATTTTTACATCTGTTACTCCCATTCTTGCCAGGTACCTGAGAAAAACCTTGACCGATTTAATCTGTGTTGAATTTGGCTGTATATGACTATTTAGGGTGCAAGATAGTTATGAGCCTGGGGTAGATTCAACTAGACCTTTGTGCTATTCCAGGCTCTGTCATAGGCCTGTGAGGCAACTTGAGGCATGTCACTGCCCCACTCCGTACTTCTAAAATGGGGATAGTGATACAGTCCTCCTTCATAAAGTGCTTTGAGAGCTACTGAGGAAAATTGCTCTATAATAGCTAGATATTATTATTATTATTTATTATACCACCTATATAAAAAGATTATCACAGTGAGCCAGGACTTTTCTCCAGCATGACTTTCTGGATCCACTAAGGAAACACAGCTGTTTTCAAACTTTAGCCACAAAAAAGTTGGTGCTCTTGGCAGCAAGAAACCAAGAGCTTTGTCTAGAGTTAGGTAGAACTGGTGGCAGCTGCAAATTCCCCAGCCTACCTCAGACGTGACCTGACCTGACCTGCTGCTCCCCTCACTGCTTTATGTCTTGTCCTCTCATCGGGGGACGTATGCCTCTTTCATAGCATGTGGGGGAACCCCTGTCTATGAAGAAATAGAAGGAATTTCGCTAAACTCATTCCACTGGTGTCCTGAGGGCCACATCCTTTGGTCTGGCTGAGTTCTCCTGAAAGGGAACTGGAATTCTGTCCATGGGGTTAAGGAGAGTTGGAATCACAAAGCTTAAAGAGCAGCCACAGACAGAATCATGACTCTGTAAATATGACATGTGAGTTCTATCTTCTAAGTCAGTTACTGTAATTCACTTACCCCTGGAAGTGATCTGAACACCTTCCAGCCATGCATTAGGTCTGTGATTTGTTCTTCTTTTATCCTTTCCTCAGGAGGAGAACTGTGTGTGTAGTGGATTGTTTTGTTTTGGTAGGGTTTTGCTTTTGATGCTACTTAAAAAAAAATCCATAGTTCTTTTTCCTCAGTGATGTCCAGATCTAACGTGCTCAATTTACAAAGCAAAAGGTACTTTTTTTCTGTAACTGTGACTCTTGCAAATTCAATATGGAACTTGAAAAATCCAGCTGGATTTTTTCTGTCCCTTATGTTATCAGAGGCGATAAAAACTTTCCAACCAAAAACTTGCCTGGCTGTTTGGTTTGCAATGCATGAGGCATAACAGGATCCAGTTTGCTGGCTCCAAGCTATGTAGGTTCTGCAAGGCTAACAAAAACAGTGTGATGAGTCGGTAGTAAAGTCAGCATTTTGGATCTAGCATGCAGTGAACACATATCCATGAAGGAATAGATCATTACACACAAGGTAAAGTTCTGTTCAATAAGAAAGTGTCATTTTTGCACATGGTAAAATTTGCAAAAATATCTAAATCCCATTTTCAAAAGTGCCTTTGCTGCTTAGGTACGTAAATTCCATTAAATTTCAAAGAGACTTGGACTTCTACTTAAGTAGGTTTGCAACCTAAATCACTTTGATAACTAAGTGCCTTTGTAGGTCAATAGAACTTAGGCACATAAGTGACGTGGGCACTTTCGAAAATAGAACTTAGATGCTTGTAAAAATGTTAGTCATATTACGCTTAAGATTGCAATCAGATCTCAAATGAGGTGGCCGTTTTTTCAGTTATAGTGCATCTAAAGTAACTGTTGCTCTTAAGAGACTTAGGTAAGGCCTACACTTAAAACACAGCAGCACTTTCAATTGAAAGTTTGACCATCACCCTAGCACTGGGAGCAAGCTCTCCCAGCGGTCCCTGTAAACCACCTAAATGAGGGGAGTAACAAGTAGCAGTGAGAGCTGGCCTCCCAGTGCTCGCAGCCCATTTACACGGGTGCTTTACAGAGCTGTAACTTGCTGTGCCTGGAGGCCGGAGGTAATTTTTCATGCCCCTGAGTGAGAGAGTTCCAGTGGCAATGTAGACATGGCTCCTTGTTTTGTGCCTGCAATATTCTGTGCTCACACATGGAAACTGGGTAACTGCACATCATACTGTACAGTTTCAATCATTCAAAGAATTTACTAAGGGGCACAGTGGATTCCATCACTGACCATTTTTAAATTCAAATTGGCTATCTTTCTAAAAGATTTGCTCGAGGGATTATGGTGGGGAAGCTTTACAGGAGTGCTGGACCAGTTTGTATAATGTGGATGCTGAGAACCATTGAACTAATGCATAAGCCAGTTAAAATGAAAACCATTTCACACCAGGGCTTGCTGCAGCTCCCCTCATTCCAGTCCCTGTGACGTTTCATGGCTGGTGCTAAACAGGTGGCCAGACTAGAGGTCCTTCTGGCTAGGGACTTCCATATGAAAGAGCAGTTGACAGATCTGTGTAGTTGTACATGTGCGAAATATTCCGGGTGGAGCTAAGGGAGGCTTTTATAAACAGCCCCACAATCCACTTTCTCAAAGTGCTTTTCACAGAGGTTGTCAGGATTTTTCAGAGCTCACATTCCTAACCTCCCCCAGCCACACTGAAACTACCTTTGCGCTTCTTGCAGGATGTGCCTCCAAGCCATATAGGCAGAAATCACAACCCTTACATGAAGGGGCACTAGCTGAGTTACCTTCCCCCTGCAGAAGGGTTTTCAATCAGCAGGAGGCCCTCCATGCTGCGGAGGGTATTGCATTATCTGAGCCTTGCAGGTTCTCATTAACTGATTCAGTCTCTTCGCTGGCTTCTAGATTTTGCAGAGTTTGTTTTCCTGGGTCTGTTCCTTACTGAGATGTCCTTGAAGATGTACGGACTAGGGCCCCGAAATTACTTCCACTCCTCATTCAACTGCTTTGACTTTGGGGTAAGTTGACATCATCTACATAAACTAATGCAGCGTGGAAGGCCCTCCTATACTGAGTGGTGTTATTTGTTTATCAGGGAGTGCAAATGACATCCCACAGGCATATTTTACAGCCATTAATTACTTCTCTTCCACCTCCCTTAGAAATCTAGTGAACACACAGTGAGAAACCATGAGAAGACATGCCAGTCTGAACACACTTTCTCTAGGAATTGTGATAGAAATGTAGCCGTGTTAGCCTGGTGTAGCTGAAACAAAAAACAGGACTAACAAGATGGTTTATTAGGTGATGAGCTTTCGTGGGCCAGACCCACTTCCTCCACTATTTGATCTGAGGAAGTGGGTCTGGCCCACGAAAGCTCATCACCTAATAAACCATCTTGTTAGTCCTGTTTTTTGTTTCAGCTACACCAGGCTAACACTCTAGGAATTGTCTCCTTCTAAGCAACCCAGTCGCCAAGCAGAACTGGGTGTCTGTGGGAATTGTTTCCTGCTAGAAGCTCACAGGGATGCAGTTCTCATCAGCAGCCTCGCTAAGTGCGCTAATACCAGGAGATGCTGTTTTCAAGGCAGATGTGTGTTTGGTTTCTTATATCCTGGTTCCCTTCTGTGACAGGATGTACCAACCCCACACTGGCCTGGGAGGGGTAAACCAGACCTGCTTGACGGAGCAGGTCCTGCCCCCACAGCCTTGCTGGGCATGCTCCAACTGTAGGCCTAGTATAAAAGCCAGGGGAGCAGCTTAGTCAGGGCTGACCATGGGAGGGGAAGGAGATCCTGCCCAAACACCGAAGCAGCCACTGTGGCAAGCGGACGCTAGGGAGAGAAACTAAGCGGGAGAATGCAGGTGGGGAAGGGACAGGGTAGGAGCTCCCAGCAGACTCAGCGTATTTCGGGCGGATTCCCTGCTGACCCAGTGGTGGGATATGCCCAAAATGGAGAGGGCCCTGGGATGGGGCCTGGTAGAAAGGGAGGGCCTGGGTCTCTCTACCCCCACCCCCATTGGCCCCCATAGGGGGTGTGCCTATTGTAATACTGACTTGGCTGCTAGGCCTTACTGCCCTGGGGACTGGGGTTCTCGTAGACAAGGCCGCTGAGCCGTGCTGCTAGAGGCTGTAGGCAGGGGGCCTGATTACGGGGTGAGGCCATGCAGACGGGGCTCAAGCGGAGCAGGGCTTCCCACCCCGTGACACCTTTGCTTGGATTCTCGACCATCCTGTGGCGATGGCCCCTCGTGATGCATGGGCAGTGAGTTTCAAATCTGAGCAGCTAGAGTGAGGCACCGTAGTGCATAACGAGGCACATACAATCAAAGTGGCGTGTTTTGGGGGGAGGTGCTGAGCCCATGCCATTGATATCCATGGTGGTGCTCAGCCGCTCTGGAAATACAGGACACTTCTGTAGATGTCTGTGGCTAGGGGTGACTAACACAATGTGGGGCTAAGTTCTGCCTTCACATAGGCTGACACAACTTTTATTGTCTTCCCTGGAAGTGTGTACCTGGATCCTAAGAGAGCATCTGGGCTGCTGTGTTTCCTGTCTCTGGTGCTCAAGATGCAGCCACCACCATAAAGATTAGAGAGGGAGAGAACAGTTGAGGCATCTCATGTGTCTTCCAGCCAGTCTGAAGGGAACTTAAGTCTGTCAGCTTGGACCCAGAACTGACTGACTGCGAGTGCTTCCCTTCCCCCTTCCGGGACTGAACGTGCTGTTTCCGCAGCACTTCATGACTCTGGGAAATGAATATCTGACTCACTGGCTACGTCTAGACTGGCATGATTTTCCGCAAATGCTTTTAACGGAAAAGTTTTCCGTTAAAAGCATTTGCGGAAAATCATGCCAGTCTAGACGTAGCCAGTGAGTCAGATATTCATTTCCCAGAGTCATGAAGTGCTGCGGAAACAGCACGTTCAGTCCCGGAAGGGGGAAGGGAAGCACTCGCAGTCAGTCAGTTCTGGGTCCAAGCTGACAGACTTAAGTTCCCTTCAGACTGGCTGGAAGACACATGAGATGCCTCAACTGTTCTCTCCCTCTCTAATCTTTATGGTGGTGGCTGCATCTTGAGCACCAGAGACAGGAAACACAGCAGCCCAGATGCTCTCTTAGGATCCAGGTACACACTTCCAGGGAAGACAATAAAAGTTGTGTCAGCCTATGTGAAGGCAGAACTTAGCCCCAACTGTTGGCAGGTGCCCACATCACAAATTCCACTCTGACAGCTGATGCTAATTGGCCCCTTGGTTGGCTGTCTCAGGAGGAGGCCAAGGACCAATCAGGCCTAGAGCCCGGACTAACCCCGTATCTCTAGAGGGGAACTGTGTAGAGCACAGCAAGGCCAGGAAAAGTGTGCTGGGTGACGGGCTGCCAGCGGGGCACCCAGCCCAGGAAGATTGAAGACCCTGCCCTCTTTCAGGACACAGTTTATTAATTGAAATAAAAAACCTTGCAAAGTAGCACAAAATAAAGATACTCCCCAGACCAAAACAGCCTCCTCTTTGCTCCAAGGCCAGTCACAGGAGCCAGCCTCCCTCCTGCAGCCCCCTCTCCCCATCCCAAATGAGCTTTCTCAGCCCTTCCTAAGACCACCTGACCTCTTTCCGCTGGGAATGACTGGCCCCAGAATCTCTGCTGCTTTAAGGGCTAGGCTACCCTGGTAGGCGTGGGAAGCATCTGGTGTACTTTCCACTGCAAGACTGGCTCTCCTTTACCTTTCGCTGGCAGTGCAAAAAGAAACCATCACCAGCCCTCTAATGGAACATACCAAATATGCCCAAACCTGGTAATGGTGATTTTCATGATAAACAATTTAAGGCATGTTGTGCAGACACTGACCCCCAGTTCTGTTGCAGCAAACTGTCATACAAGTAATTGTGAGTAGGGCACTGTATCTGCAGCTGCTTCCCTCTCCCCCCTCCCCCCATCACGTAGATGGCTAAGTCACGTAGATGGCTACACTCTTGATTTTGGAATATCATCAGGGACTTTAGTTAACACTCCCCCCCTTAAACTAAAAGCAACAGGCTGTAGTAGGCATAATGCTGTGCCTGCAAAAACAAAGGTTCTGCTAAGGCTAGATTGAAAATTGGTTTGGGATTTTCAGAGACTTCTAAGGGAGTTGTCTAGGCCTGGCCCTAAACGAGCTGGTGCCCCAGGTGAGGCGCATGTTCAATGTGTCCTCTCTGTTTGTTAAGCTCTAATCTTGAATCCCTCATGTTATTGCATTTGTGGTCCATTTCACCATTTTGATACAAGATTTGCACGTGTGATTTATCCCTGGCATACAAAACGATAAAACTAGCTCACTCGTATCTGTACATCTGTATTTTTTCATGCCATATATAAGCAAGTCTGGAAGCTTCCACAAGATTCTAGAACGGTCCAGAACATTGTAGGAAGTTAGTGAAATATGAACCCACATAAAGAACATCTGAAACATTTCATTTCAAGCATTCTGTTTTCCCTTTCAATAAAAAGAGCACCCCAAGTCCCATGCTCTCCAAGCCCACCACCCCAGGCCATCGCCTGAGTCACCTGACCCTGAACCCGGTCCTGAATTTGGCACCCAGCTCCTATTGAAAATATGGGAGGTAAGCGTCTAACAATTTGAGACTCCTTTGAAAAGTCCAGCCTCTCTGAACTGTCTCTAGAAAATTAGCCAGTTTGGTAACACCCTAATTAGGCTTTTGATTTATGTAAATTTATCGCTGCCTCATTTTTTGACAAGTTCTAGTGAAAGATGCTGGATTGATGTTTTCTATCCACCACATTGATACTTCATGGGCTACACAATATGGCAAGTGTCACCCTCATGGTCTGCTAATTTCTCTTCATTTATTTCCTAAAAGTCTTTGTTAATCAGAATGCTCCCCCAAAGGAAAAAATATACCTTGTCTTGTGGGATAAATGATCTAAGAATTTTATGTTAACCACAGAACAAATCCACTGGGCCCATCAGCTTTCTGTCGTGCCATGCTGAAGGAAGCAGTGGTACAGTAATACGTTTCACGGATTGGGATTCCCAGGAGGGAGGGAGAAGGTTTTGATCACTTTTCTAATTCTTCCTTATTTAGAGACTCCATTGGGAAGCCACCACTGGCTAGCTTTCTTCCACACACCCACCTTCCCACTCCTTAATTTAATTTAGATTTTTTTTACCCCCTTTGGGAACAGCACACAGTTCTGTAGTCAGTTTAGCTTGACAAACCATTGAGATGCTAAGAAGAAAGAAACAACAAAACAGAGACACATTGGCCCTGGGAGGAATAGTCCAGTGGAGCCTTGTGTGAAGTCACTCCCAAGAGGTCATTTTAATATGGCAAGAAAATTAATGATCAATTTAAAACTCAGAGAGCATGGGGGAAGGTTTTACTGATGCATGATGGGTTCCTAAAAAGGATACACAGTGAAGGAGAGGAGAGCTGTGTTCTGCTGAAAAGGAGCTGGACTTCTGTACACAAATGCCATTTTCAGGGTGTCAACAATCTCATGTCATCACTCAAGTGCTAGCACAGGTCTATCTCTTCACCTTGATTTTCTGTGAAAATTGCATTCCACGGTAGAAATCAGCCCCTGGTGCATTTCAAGGCAATTGCTGTGCTACTCCATGGCTAAAGTTTCTCAACCTTTGATTTTGCCTGAAATGAGATATAATGGCTCAGAGATGCTCGTCTTACCTTATTACTTAAGCAGTAACTCAGCTTTTCTATAATCCCCCTTTACTATAATGCAATTTTCACTACTATAATTTCTCCCTCTTTACATTTCATACAGTCCCTTTGTATCTCAGGGTTTGTACTATTGCGTAGCTGCCAAAATTTTAACAAAAATCTGTCCAGAGACAATTCTTTAAATATCTCCAACCCAGGGGCTGTTGAACAGTAGAATGTGAACTCGATTGAATTCTATGGATTTTTATTTAACTGCAAGGAGCTTAATTAACCATCATTCGAAAGGTTCTGAACAGAGAGATGCTTGCAGTAGATTTTACATAATTATTATTAGCTCCTATACAGTGCCCGCTCCTGAGCCCAGCTGTGGCCAACTCCTAGGAGTAAGGGGGCGTAAGGAGACATCTCATATCCTTGTGCAGGCTACTCATATGCATGACGTGCGGGCAGGGCCAGCTTTTTTCTGGCTGCTAATGCCCCCTCTTGTGCAGGTGGGCACTGGTGGGCAGTGGCTGGGGCATTGGCTGTGATCCCACAATGCACCAGGCAACATACAGGCCTGGTGCAGAGAGTGCTTCCGCCACCAGAGCAAGCAGCAGACTGGTATCTGAGTTGTTTTCCTTCCTCAGGCTGGATCACACAGGCACGATATGAGAGCCATTCTGTCTGAGAGCTCAGGCTTTCTTGCTGTTTTCTTGATTGTGCAAATTACACTGGCAGCCCCCGTTCCAGCGCAGGATCAGTCTCGCCTTTGGTCCCGAGCCCCTGTGGGAGGACCCACAGCCGGTTGTGGAATCATTTTCCCTTTTAAAAGAGGCTGTTCTTGCAGGTGATCGTGGGGAGCATTTTTGAAGTGATTTGGGCAGCGGTGAAGCCTGGTACCTCGTTTGGCATCAGTGTACTGAGGGCTCTTCGGCTGCTGAGGATTTTCAAAGTAACCAAGTAAGTCCAAGTTCATTTTCGCTCCCCTTGGCTGTTGAGCTCAAAATGAAAGCTGTCATCACTCTCCTACAATTAGTGTCAATGCTGGCCTGCCTCGCACACTCCTGGGATACAGCCACGTATAAGGTTACCAGATGGTTTAACCAAAAATACCGACACCTCCCCTCCCCCCCTGCCACCGCCAAAGAAAAACCACTGGGGAAAAAATTCTGTGGAGAAAAAAAGGAGGAGACCAAAGTTGTTGACGAAAAAAAAAGGATCCCAAGAGTTATTAAGCCAAAAAAAAAAAAAAAGAACTCAAACCAAAAACAACAGCATGGCCCCTTTAAGAAATGCTTTTGAGACTTTTTGGCCCTAACAGGCTGCCGGCAGCCGTCCACCAACTTGTCTCCCTCCTCCAGGCCAGATAGCTCCCCTGCGGAACCCGGTAAGCACCCGAGATTTTTGCCTCCTGGACGGGAAAAAATCAGAAAGTACTGGATATTTTAGGTGTCCGGTATTTTCTGAAGTTTTTTTTACTGGAGAGAAGGTGAAAATACCGAACTGTGCGGGTCAATACTGGACACCTGGCAACCCTAGCCATGTAGCTGTTGGGCCCTGGCGGTAACTTCTGCTTCTGTCCGTCCCCCTCACGCTACCACGCAAGGCCTGCGATTAACTGAGGTGTGTGCTACCAGCACTCACGTCCGCAAACCGGGCCCTCGGGACTACAGTTGAACGAGCCAGGAAGACTGTACGTCACTTCTCCCGACAAAAGACAAGACTGAGATACGCCAGCACAACAGCATGAGGACACTTGTGCTACTGCTGCCTGTAGGATACCTTATCTCAGAGTGTACTGAGGTCTTCTGTTTCCCTGGCTGAATCTGGCACTTTGATGAGCCTGTAGCGTTTGGTAGGCGATGCTTTTTGCTCGTTCTTCTGAGGTGTCAGGGGAATTAACAAACAGCTATTGTGCAATTTATATTCCACTTAGTGCCACTGCTGCAGGTGTGAAAGTTGTAATGTTGAGCTAACTGAAACTGTTTTGAAATGACAAGTGGTCCTGTGGCACCTTAGAGACTAACAAAAATGTCTGTCGTATCAGGAGCTTTCGTGGGCAAAGCCCACTTATTCAGAAGAGGTGGAGAGGGATATCAAAAACCCAGTAGTACCTGTAAATTGTAGGACTGGGGCTAATGAGGCTAATTAAGTGAGCTGCAAGTGTCCCATACTTAGCCTTTGATGTAAAAATGAAGTGTTAAATACAGGTTATAATGTGACATCCAGTTTATAAGCCCAGGGAAACAGTGTCAAATTTGCAGATGAATGTCAGTTCTGCACGCTCTCTCTCTAATTGGCTGACCATGTTTTGGGCAGCCGTGCCAGTTTTGTTCCTCCCCCCCCCCAAGTTTTCCCCTCTTCTTCCCTCTTTTTAATTAACTCTTTGTATTAGCAAGAGGCGTGTAACTGTGTGACACCAGGTGAGTGTTGGGGTCACTCAGCCTTGGTCAGTTAGCATCACCCCCACTACATCTCTGCAGGGATTGGGGATGCTTCGCTGACACGCCGTCCTGTGCTGTGCAAGGAGTCTGGTTGGAGACAGATGCCAATCAGGGACTGCAGCCTGCCTAGAACCCTAGGGGGAGGGGTTGTGTTCCAGCCTCAAGGTGGGGGTGAGGTTCAAACCCAGAAACTCCGGTTGGTGTTGAGACAGTTTGCAGCTAGACTGCAAAGAGGAAAGCTCACAGCTGAGCCTAGCTGAGTTGCATATTTGGTTCTGTTGGACTTTAAGTGAAGGACTTGGAGGCCGCCGAAGAGGTTGGACTCTGTTAAGTGGCTTGGCTGCAGGGCCAGTCAGATTTATAGCCAAAATGGGGCCGCGAGGGCACTGGGCAACCCGAAGGCTGAGCTGCTGCAATACCGCTTCCAGCCACAAGGGGGGAGGGGGAGCTGGTGCAGCCTCTCTGTGCAAGGAGCAACACAGAAAGGATTTAGACGGGGAGCCCCTTTTTCGAAACTTAATAGGGTGTCAGGGCTCCGATTGGCCACCAAGAGTATGAAATGGCCATTGGACGTGCTTAGCTACGTCTCTCGTCATCAGCTGCGCAATGTGGGTGTCCTTTAGCCAGGTCTGCGCTGCAATAATTAGTATGTTCTTAGGTCAACTCGTGCACATGAGCAACGTTTGGTTTAAAGTAGCTGCAAAGACCCAGTGACTCAGCTTTTAATGTGGATTAGCAGGCCCCATGGTATGTCTACACTGCAGCTGGGAGTGAACCTTCCTTTAAGCTGACAGGCTAGTGGGGGCAGGGCTGCTCGAGAACACTAAACATAGTTGTGGGAACCTTGCAGCAATGTCAGAGGCTCAGACTAGCCACTTGAGTTCAAGCCCACTCTACCTGGGCCAAGCGTGCCTGGATGGCTTGCCTGAGCCTCCCTTCGTGCTGCAACATCCACCAGCTATTCTTACCATGTGAGCATAAGCTCCCTCCCTACCACAGGTCTGTCTACTGGACAAAGCTTGCTCCCAGCTACAGTGGAGATAAGTCCCTACAGAGTTGAAGTCGAGCTGCTAATGCAAGTTAAAAGCTGAGTTGCCATCTCTTTGCCGCTAATTTAACCTGTTAGCTAACCCAAGTTAGGAACATGCTTTTCTTTGCTGTGTAAACCCCTCTCCCCCCCCCGAAGAGTTAGCTGGCTTTTTACCTGCTGATCGTTCAGCATCTCCAACTTTCCCCTGTAGGGAGGGGTGAAAGGAACTTACATTTTGTACAGCTACTGTCCTATCACAACCCAGGTCCCTGCCAGCTCCTTCAACAGCTCCCTGCTGGCTTTTGCTGCAGCTCAGCCAGCTCTTGCCGGAGCTGTGCACTAGAGCGCACCTCTGCCTGTAGGTGTCTGAGGAAATCCGAAACAATTTCTGAAAAGGGCAGAGAGCAGGAAAAACTGTAGGTTCTCAGTAGCAAAGAAAAGTCCTGAAGGGGCAGCAGGCTCCAGAAAAGTGCTCAGTCACATCCGAGCAGGAACTAGTTGAGAAAGTTAGCCAAGCAGGAGCTCCATATGTTCCATGGCTGCTGTCTGGCCCTCTTTATCACCTCACCCTGTGCTAATTCTTTCCTTTTTGCCTGGCTTTCCCCGAAGCTCCCTGCCCTTGGATTTTTGCCTCTAATCTGTTCAGCGGAAGGCAGCCGCACCACTCTGCTCTGAATAATTGGGAGCATTATGCCTTTTCTTTCAGAGGCCTTTTCTTCCTTCAGTACAAGCCAGGAAGATTGTGAAAAGCAGAGTGACATGATGGTTAGAAAGTTAAATTGCAGCAAGCTGGAAAGGTCGCAGCAGGATGGCATATCACTGCAGAGAGTGGGAATGCAGCCTGAGAGGCACTGAAATTCAGAGATAGGACACAAGGAGAAAATAGCTCAACATAATTTCCTGCTTGTCAAGCTGTAATGGGAACTGGCAACTGTAGAAATTTAACTCCTTGTTACAGCCCAGGAGCCGGTCATCAGTCATGGATGGGTGCTGAAAAGGCCCAGCTACTCGGGATAATACATCCACCTGACATGTGGATGTGCTGCCCAGTTATGTTAACTGAGAAATACCAGCTTGAGAGTTGATGCAAGTTTTGCCTCAGGCAGGCAGCAGCGCGAGGCAGGGAAAATTCCCTTGGAGAACTGTCTGTCCTGGGCTGTGGTCATAAAATCTATCCATTAGAGCAATTTAGCCTCTTTTTAGGGTCTTAGTCTAACTCAGGTACATCTGCTTGATTCATCTCAGGGAAACATCCATCTCAGACACCCAAGCCCTCCCCCCCCAAATCCTATGCCAGTCTGTCATAGAGAGGCACCTTTTTGGGGCTACCACTGGACTGGATGTTGCAGGCCCTCCAGTGCATGTAGTAACATTTATACCTCATCTCTTACATGCTCACGCTTGTGCAGAGCTTGCAAGTACAGCTGGGTGGAATTTTCCATCTGAAATTTTTATCAATGAGAAGTGCAGATTCAGCAACACAATAATGTTGTGAATTTGTGAGACACACAGTGGGTGAGGTGACCTCTTTGGGTACGTCTAGACTGTGGTGCTATTTTGGGATATCGGAAGTATCCTGAAATAGCAACACTGTGTCTTTAAACACTCCCGCTATTTCCTGAAATAGCGGGCGTGCTATTCCGGCATCTCTGTAACCCTCATGAGGGTTATGGGATTTGTCAGAATAGTGCCTTATTTTGAAATTTGGTGCTATCGATACAGCACCAAATTTCAAAATAAGTTCTTTCGACCTAGACTCGGAATAAGCTATGAAATTTGCATAGTGCAAATTGCGTAGCTTATTCCAGTAGAAGGGTACTATCTAGACGCACCCTTTTATTGAACCAATTTCTGTTAGTCAGAGAGACCTCAGCTCTGGTTACTCAAAAGTTTGTGTCTCTCACCAACAGAAGTCAGTCCTTTAAAAGATATTAGTTTACCACCTTATCTCTCTAATATTCTGGGACTGACGAGGCTACCCCAATATTGTGAATTCATATCAGTTTCACTGAATTGTTTCATGGGGGGGAAAACAAGCCCCAGACAAGACAAATTCCCCCAGAAGTTAAAAAGTTTTGTTGTGATAGTTTTGAAACAAAATATTTTGATAAGCCTTGGCGCACTGGAGAAATGGCAGAAGCTTTCTAGGAAAGAATGAGTGCTGTGCTGGTCTTTAGAAAGAGTAAATGGGATATCCCAGGAAATTACAGGCCTGCCAATCTGACTTTGATCTCAGGAAAGATAATGGAGCAGCTGATAAGGGACTTGATTAATAAAGAACTAAAGGAGGGTAATGTAATTACTGTAAATCAACACAGGGTTTATGGAAAATAGATCCTGTCAAAGTGACTTAATATCTCTTTTTTTGTATACGTTTGGTTAATAATGGTAGGAGTGTTAACATATAAATGCATTTCAATCTGGCTAAATGTAACTGTAGACACCTGGGAACAAAGACTATGGGCTGTACTTACAAATGGGGAGTCTATCCTGGGAAGAACGTCAGAAGGGCCAGACTGGGTCAGGCCAAAGGTCCACCTAGCCCAGAATCCTGTCTTGTGACAGTGGCCAATTCCGGTGCCCCAGAGGGAATGAACAGAACAAGGAATCATCAAGTGATCCCTCTTCTGTCACCCATTTCCAGCCCCTGACAAACAGAGGCAAGGGACACCATTCCTACCTATCCTGGCTAATAGCTATTGATGGACCTAACCTCCAGGAATTTATCCAGTTCTTTTTTGAAGCAGTGACTCTTGAAAAGGTTTGGGGCTCCTTTTGGCTTATGAGTTCTCAAGGACATCAATGGCCAAAAGAGTTAATGCAACCCTTGGATGCATAAACAGGGGAATCCTGAATAGTAGAGGGGTGGTTTTAGTTCTGTATTTGGCACTGGTGCCACTGCTGCTGGAATGGTATGTCCATTTCTGGGGCCCATGGTCCAAGAAGAACATTGTTAAAGTAGACGGGGGGCAAAGGAGAGCCATGGGGATGATTAAAGGTTTAGAAAACAAGCCTTGTAGTGCTAGATTCAAAGAGGTCAATGTACTTAGCTTAACAAAGAAAAGGCTCAGAAGTGATTTGATTACAGTCGATAAATACCTACCTGGGGATCAGACTTAGAGGCCAAAAGGGACCATCGTGATCATCTAGTCTGACTTCCTGCACTTCACCCACCCACCTATTTAACAAACTTAAATCTAGCAGAGAATGTTATAACATGACCCATGGCTGGAAGATGAAGCTTGATAAATCCAGACTGAAATAAGGCTTTTTTTTAACCAGTGAGAGTAATTAATCATGGGAACAATTTCAGAGCATATTCTCCATCGCTGACCATTTTAAAATCAAGCCTGGATGTTTTTCTAGATGAGCTTTAGGAATTCGTTTGCGGACACTCCCTGGCCTGTGTTACACAGGAGATCAGACGAGATGATCCCAAGCAGCTGGAAGTTGACTTTAAGGGTGTGTCTAAACTACATGGCTCCGTCGATGGAGCCATGTAGATTAGACTGATCGGCAGAGGGAAATGAAGCCGCGATTTAAATAATTGCGGCTTCATTTAAATTTAAATGGCTGCCACGCTCTGCCGACCAGCTGTTGATCAGCTGTTTGTCGGAAGATCGGGGCAGTCTGGATGCGCTGCAGTCGACAAAGGCTTCTTTGTTCGGAAGATCGGGGCAGTCTGGATGCGCTGCAGTCGACAAGGAAGCCTTTGTCGACCGGCGCAGGTATGCCTCGTGAAACCAGGTTTGCCTGCGCCAGTCAACAAAGGCTTCTTTGTCGACCGCGGTGCGTTCAGACTGCCCCGATCTTCCGACAAACAGCTGATCATCAGCTGGTTGGCAGAGCGCGGCAGCCATTTAAATTTAAATGAAGCCGCGATTATTTAAATCGCGGCTTCATTTCCCTCTGCCGATCAGTCTAATCTACATGGCTCCGTCGACGGAGACACACCCTAAGTGCTGAGCCCCTTGCAAGGTGGGAGGAGACTTCACACACTCCCCACCCCCAAACCCTGATTGGCCTTGGGGTGTGGGAGTGGCAGAGTCTCTGCAGGCGGGATCAACTCGCTTGGTGGGCTGGATCTGGCCCACGGAGGCCCTTTTGCCCACCCCTGGTTAACCCGGGCTTGCTAAAGAGACCCTCAGCTTGACTAGCTCTGTCTGCCTTTTCTGATTCATTACTTTCCGTAATACAAACGTTCCCTGCTTGTTCTCAGCAGGGAAATATGACAGTGACGTGAGAGTGCCGTTCCTCCACGCCCTGCCCGGACCTCTGTGATTCAGCCTGCCTCTCCCAGCTGGGTGCATGTATAGACACCTGCCCCTCAGGCAAAGGATGCGGGGGGTGGGGGAGAGCAGATTGAACATCAGTGCCTGGCCAGGGGGCAGCTGCCATGTGCAGGTCAAACTAAGTTCCCCTTCCTTGAGTTCTTGGGCACAATATGCAAAATGTAGGGGTTGGATGCAGCGAGGTTAATTTTCAACCCTGGCTGTCCCAATAGGATGGGCAAATTCCCCTAAACTACGCACATTGGAGGCCTATTTCAAACACCCACATACCAAGTGAAATGCCCGAAGGTGAGATTTTGAGGTCTTGTGTGTAGAAATCAGGCATTAAACTGTTGAAAGCTCATTTTAAAATAACTTCCCAAACAACATGGTGGGGGTGTAAGAAGGGGGCGGGGGAATCAAGCTCCTATGGAAATGAACCATTCGGTCCTGGCTGAAGTCTTAGCAACATGAGTAGTTCACAGCCCCCTCAGATTCCTTCTCACCTCAGCATTACCAATAAATCCCCGTTTTTGGCATCCCCAGCAGTGGGTATGCATAGTAATGGAAAGGAAATGCAGGGGAGTTTAAGCTGTAGGCAACACATCTATACTGCAGATCAGCAGTTTTCAAACTTTTTTTCTCATGACCCAGTTGAAGAAAATTGTTGATGCTGCAACCCGACATAATTTGACTGGAGCGCAGGCTCCGGGGTGGGGCCGACGTGGAAAGCTTTGGGGTGCAGGAGGGGGCTCCAGCTTTTGAGGGGGGTCAGGGTTGGGGCAGCAGGCTCCCGGTCAGCGGTGCAGTGGGGGAGGGCTAAGGCAGCTTCCTGTCTCTCCTGCACCACAGACCATGCTGTGCCCAGAGGCAGCCAGCAGCAGGTTCTAGCCAATGGGACTGAGGAGCTAGTGCTTGGGGCAGGGGTAGTGTGGGGAGCCCTGTGCACTCTCTTCCCACCCACCACCCCTGGCATGGAGCCAGGCCTACTGCATAGTCTGCGGTACCAGGACAGGCAGGGAGCTGCCTTAGCACCTGCACTGGTCACCTGATCCCCCTGCAGCAACAAACCCCAGGCCCCGACATTCCACGATGCGGTACCGGGCTGTGCCCCATAGTTTGAAAACCAGATAAGCTGAGCAGAGAGAAGCTGCATAGTTTGGAACGTGTACAGTTAGTTTGGACAAAGCCCTGCAGAATTCATGGAAAGTTGCTATTCTCCACAGCAGCCGTTTGCTCATGATGGCTAGAGATTTCTGATTCTACATGTGGTTTTGCTCTATGATAGACTCAAATGGGCCACGTGTTCTACGGGCAGTACATCAGCGGAGAGTCAGACCCAGATGAATTTAAGGAGACTGTACAACTTGAGCTGTGTCCCATAGAGCACTCATCATTACTCCCCTTTTAAAGGACTAGCTCATTTTCATCTCTCCCGGAAATAGCCCCTCCTCACCCAATGACACTAACTGTTGGTTGCTTTGATTTACAACCTAGATACTGGAACTCCCTAAGGAATCTCGTGGTATCCTTGCTGAACTCCATGAAATCCATCATCAGTTTGCTCTTCCTGCTTTTCTTGTTCATTGTGGTGTTCGCTCTGCTGGGAATGCAGCTCTTTGGAGGACAGTAAGTCTAGTGGTCGTTGAGATGTTTTCCTCACATCAAAGCCGTCTCGTGGAAGGCAAAAGACTGAGGGGACTGGATGGCTCAGAGGATTTGCAAATCTGCTTGAAATTCTTTCGTGCGGAAAAATTTCTTCCTGGAACGTAGTTTAATCAAACCTGAATTTTGTTATGAGACAATACCAATTCCAATGACTAATTTCGGTTTTCCAAAGCAACATGCCACAACAAGCATTTTTTGTTTCAAATTGGCATTTTGAAAGAAAAGAGCATTTGTTTTATCTAAAGGGACCGTTGTCATTTTGTTCTTTTAACATTTTAGGTTAAAATGGGCATTCCTAATTCAATTTAATTTATTTTCAGTTTGGATATTTCTGGTTTACAACTTTTGGAATTATTCCACAAAAGTTTTTGGTATTATGATTTTTCAATTCCATTTAGGAATGGAAATTAATTTTGAAATGTTGATATTTCCAGTGAGATGTAAATACTGTTTTCTTAACAGTTCTGCTAAACACACCTCTCTTAGGCTACGTCTACATGGTACTTTTGTTGGTAAAGACACACCCCTGGCCAACAAAAGTTTTACCGATGAAAACCATTGGTGTGGACAGTGCTTTGTCAGCAGGAGACGCTACCCCTTTAACTCCAGGGCATAAGGGCAGCCATGGGGCTCTGTGCACTGCTCCTGCCCCAGGCACCAGCTCCCCTTGGCTGGGCACTACAGCTCCCCTCTCCTATCTGACTCCACCCCAGAGCCTGCATCCCCAGCCTGGAGTCTGTACATCCTTCCACACCCCAACTCCTTGCCTCAGTCCAAAGCCCAGAGTCTCTTCTGCACCCCAAGCCCCACATCTCCATCCCCTTGCTGGGAGTGGTTTTATTTTGTCAGTGAGACAACAGAGCAGCTCCACGGCGTGCCTTGCAACGGCCAGGCTAGCAGCACAGGTCTGGTGCTCGAAGCTGCACCATGTAGACCTAATCATCCTTAAGATACCACCTCCCATCCTGAAACTGACCAGATTATCCCTCTCTGTAGCAAATATTGTCTTCTGACTTGGGCGATAGAGAATTACGAGAGCGTAGGGTTTTTTTTCCCCCCTGCGTCATTTTAATTTTTAAATTTTATTTCCTGTGTAGATTTAATTTTCAAGATGAAACGCCGACCACCAACTTCGATACGTTCCCTGCTGCCATCCTCACTGTGTTCCAGGTAAAGCTGCCTCCTTGCTTAGGTGTGCACTTAGAAAGGAACCGTTCAGACACCTTTCTGTTCCTAATGGAGGGGACATCCCTCAAGCTACCTGAATAGGAGAAAGAAATTTGTTTGCTCGTAGCCTCACAGTGTGTGGTTGGTGGGATTATCACGCACATGAAATGATCCATTGCAATAAAGGCCAAGGGACTCTGAAATTCAGGCAAACTGAATTCTTTTACTGGGAAAATGGACGGCTGCTTTGCACAGACAAACCGTCATCTCTGGACGATGGGAGACCCTCCAGCATTCTTCATGAGCTCACCCCCGCTGTGCCTTACGCTGCAATGGGACTACTCATGTGTTGTCCTCTGCCCAGCATCTGTAATGGCATCATGTAGCAAACGAGGTGCAATGACCCATTTCCTCCTGAGGGTGCCGAGAATTAATGAGAGTAGCGGGAGAAGGCCCAAGGCAATGAGAAAACAATAGAGCAGTTTGCACTATCAAGATTGAAGGATAAGATTGGCTAAGAATGAAAACCAATGGGAGTTAGTTAGGGTTAGACTCATAGAACCCTAGGGCTGAAAGAGACCTCAGGAGGTCATCAAATCCAGCCCCTGTCCAAATCAAGACCAATCCCAACTCAATCAACCCAGCCAGGGCTTTGTCAAGCCGAGACTTTGGTCCTGCTTTGGGCAGGGGGCTGGACTTGATGACTCCTGAGGTCTCTTCCAGCCCTAGGATTCTGTGGGTATGTCTACACTACCCCGCTAGTTCGACCTAGCGGGGTAATGTATGCATACCGAACTTGCTAAGGAAGCCCGGGAAATTCAAATCCCGGGCTTCCTTAGCAAGTTCGGTATGCGTACATTACCCCCCTAGTTCGAACTAGCGGGGGAATGTATGCATACCGAACTTGCTAAGGAAGCCCGGGAAATTCAAATCCCGGGCTTCCTTAGCAAGTTCGGTATGCGTACATTACCCCCCTAGTTCGAACTAGCGGGGGAATGTATGCATACCGAACTTGCTAAGGAAGCCCGGGAAATTCAAATCCCGGGCTTCCTTAGCAAGTTCGGTATGCGTACATTACCCCCCTAGTTCGAACTAGCGGGGTAGTGTAGACATACCCTGTGAGAGCCAGGGAAGAGTTATCGGCTCTGGGCCACGTGGCAAGTCAGTATGGGGGAGCTGCAGCTCAGGCTTTCAGGGCCTCGTTCTGCAGCTGCTCCGTGCCTGGCATGTTTACAGAGTTATGGAAATGGGAGGGACACACCCAGTTCTGTCTGAGACAGCAAGCGAGCGCTCCTTTGCCTCTGGAGAGCCGTGAATGGGGGGAGGGGCACACGCTCTGCATGGATGCTGGCAAGGGCTCAGGCTGAGATGTTGGGGTTTCCATCTAGATCCAAACTTCTCCAAAGTGCAGTGAGGCCTGAATCCAGAAGTGGCAGACGCTTCCTAAAAGGGTGGGGGGCACAGCGCCCAAACTGTAGCCCTGCCCCCATGTTGCCCCTTTTCCTTACGCTCCTGCCTTGGCGCAGCCTTTCCTGAGGTCCTGCCCTGAGCCACTTCTTCCCCCATGATTCTGCTCCCCGATTGCTCCTCTCCCCCCGTCCTCCATTGCTCACCCTTAAAGCTGGTACCCCCCCATTCTGACACCCCTGCCAAGATCGGCTGTTCCAGTTCATGGTCCTCCCAAGGCAAGGACAGTCCTGTGCTTAAAGCAGAGGATTAGGCTTTTAGAGACCTGGGTGCTAGTCACAGTTCTGTCATTGTTTCACTGTGTCCTTGGGTAAGCTGTGTCACTATGGGCCTCAGTTTCCCTGTATGGGAAGGGAGGATTATAGGACTCCCCTTCACTGAGATGTTCCAAGTTTCACTGTGTTAATATTTGCAAAGTGCTCTGAGCTTCTTCTGAGGGAAAAGGTATTGTCAGAGACGGTGCTCAGCTCCAGATAGCAATGTCCCCAGACTCTGGGGCCGATTTGACTGAAGCCAATTAGTAATTTGGGGGAAATTGTCATAGTTCCTTGTTTCCTATCATGTGACAAATTCACCCTGCAATAGTGCTCCTGTGGGTTGACAGTGAGTTTTCTGCAGATCATTAATGAAATTTATGAGTAAGTAAGTGAATTAAAAATGGCTAAAATGGTAACACAAGATAAACTCAGTGCTACCTTGTTGGTTGCATCAAAGTGATTTGATGTCATGTTTCCCCACCACCACCAAACGCACAAGTCTTCAGAACACTGTAATAAGGGCTCCCAAGCCCAGCATTAGAGCTTACATCTGCCTCAGTTTCCCTACTCTCATCCAAGCCAGGTGGCCAACTCACTGGTCAATGGATGTAGCTGATGATACTCCCACAAGTGCCAGTTTTACAGTCCATTTTCCCAGCAAAGCATTTATTACCCAGATACAAATGTACATCAACATCAACTGAAACAGGTAAACCCTCCCCCACTGGCCCCTCCTAAGGTTTCAGAGAGTTTCTGCTGCTATCCACACAGCAGGTGTGCCCAGCTAGGTCTTTCACCTACCTGCATGGAAAGCCCTCCCCTCCAGATTCTCTCTCTGATGTCGAATATGCTATAGGAGCCACTCAACTCCCTTTGGCTCTCCCTCTGAACTCAGGCTGCCTTTTGTATCCCAGCGGGATTGTTTTGAGTCACAGTCTCCTACCATGTGACCCAAGGCTTTGTAGCAAATTGCTGCATCTCTGTACTCAGGCAGTCGGGTCGCACACATTCAGCAGCTCAGCAAGAAGGGTTTACAACCACCATAAACACAGAGACTGCTTACAAACCAGAGAGGCCTCTGTTCGCCATCCATGCAGCACTACGTGAGGGTTGCCAATTAAATAATTCTGTGCCACCAGCTGGTAAGAGGTACACCACTGATGCGTGCCTGAGGGGATGTGAAAAATTTAAAAACCACCAATAGACTTAATAGCACCTTAAAGACTAACAAAGCATGTAGATGGTATCATGAGCTTTTGTGGGAACAACCCACTTCTTCAGAATACGGGAGTATTAGAAGTCCGGATACAAGAATAAATAAGGAAGAAAAGAGAAAGAAAAAGGAGGGGAAAAAGAGAGAGAGAGAGAGAGAGAGAGAGAGATTGAGAGTGAGTAGATGTTTCAAGTAGTTACAAGAAGCTGCTAAGATCAATTAGCACCTCCGTTATTTGGTTGGTTAGTTAAGTCATTAGGATGTGGAAGGTAGAGTGGGAGCCAGCCAATGTCCCTGTTCATACCATTAGCATTAGAATTAAAAATGAAGTTAAGTTCCAGTCCTTCCCTGTGTCTTTGGCTTGGCCTGAGACAATAGTGTAACATGGAGCTCCATTAATGAGCGTCCAGGCAGCTTAAAGGGTTCTCCAACAGGTTTTTGGGTGTTGCCTTTTCAGTTATCTGATTTATGTCCATTGTTCCTTCCCATAGAGACTGTCCAGTTTGGCCAATATACATGGCAGCGGGGCGTTGTTGGCATTTGATGGCGTAGATCACATTAATGGATGTGCAGTTAAATGGGCCTCTGACATGGTGGCTGATGTGGATGGTCCGGTGATGAAATCACTGGTGTAGATGTGTGGGCAGAGTTGGCACTGAGGGAATGTGGAATGTTGGAGACAGGAGGGCAGTGAACTTTGGCTGCTCTCGCCAGGTTCTTTTCTGAGTTGTATTGCATGGGTGTCTGATGCAGGGTTTAAACTCTCAGTCAAGTCCCAAGTCAGAAAGCCTCTCCATTCAGGACTGCACTTTAAGTACGTGCTTCACTGCTTTAGTTTTGGAAGCCCACCCACGATTGATAACAGGTTCTCTAATTGGAGCAGAATTTGGTCCATTTCTGGGGCTTTCTTATCACTAGATTTCTCTTTGAGGGCCTGTATCCAAGGCCGTGTATATAAATGATGCTTAAACACTTCTGCTCATCTCTCTTTCTTGCTCTCATATTTCCCTCTCCAGATACTGACTGGTGAAGACTGGAATGCAGTGATGTATCATGGGATTGTATCACAAGGTGGTGTCCACTCAGGAATGTTTTCTTCCATTTACTTCATCATCCTGACATTGTTTGGTAACTGTATCCTTGCTCTTGGGTCTGAGTTGCCCATGGTCTCTCAGTGGCAAATGAGCAGTCAGGATTCACGGGCCTCCTGAAGTGCTGGCGTGCAATGTTGTGCAGGGGGTGAGGCCCAAATCTGGGCATCCTGGTACTTTGCGTCTGTTCTGACTCTGCCACTGGCTTACTGTGTGGCCTCATGAATGTCACTTAGGACTTGCCTCTGCACAGACCCGTGCCAAACACTAAATTGGATTTAATTTGTACCTTTTGGTATTTCACTGCAAGTCTGTGTGCAGACACTTACTGAACATTGAGAAAGTCCTATACTGATTGACTGTAAGCCGCGGGAAAAATAATTTAAGATCTAACCAAGTAGGACCTTTTAAAGTAAGCGTGCCCACACACGCACTTACACTGAAACGAAATTCAGTTTCGGCTCTGTCTACAGGACAGCCTATGCGTGCAAGACGTACGTTACTCTGGAGCTATATCTAAAAACCTCAATTTGCGTATCTTTTTCCACTTGTTTTTTCGGAAGAGGCTTTTCTGAAATTTGGCCCATCTACAGGGGCCCAGTGTCAGAAAAACCTTCTCTTTCAGAAGATCCCTTATTCCTCATAAACTGATCCGAAAAAGTGGACGTATTCCCTGGACGCGGCAGAGTTTTTCCAGGATACCTCTGGAATAGTCCACCTCCCTGAGTGGTATGAGTTACACCTCATGTGCACAGTGCTAAGTGAGACAAATTGCTTATGCCTCAGGTGGAGGTGGAATTTTATACTCTCCCATCTGCTTGGAGCATCTTTGCCAGGCAGCTGCAGTGTTGTGTGTATCAATCAGCATGGCCTTGGCGAATATTTGGGTATAACCTACCCTGGGATCTCACTGATTCTCCAGTAAAATAGGAATAATAATACTCACCTCTGTGAAAAGCTTTAGGGTCATTGGATGAGAGGTTCTATAGCAGGGTGCCTGAAAGGGCTAATCAGAGTTTCTCTCAACCACCTCCCATGGGGTCAGCAAAGCTGTTTGGGAATTTGTATTAAGGAGGGCAGAGAGAATAGCTGTCCTGAAACAGTCCATGAAGAATCGTTAGAATCCCTCTTCTTGAGGTGTTTTAGCAGGTTTTATGTCTCCCCCCCCCTTTGGGGTTCTGTATTTTACTTTTATATATATGTGCGTGTGTATAGGTATATATCGTGTTTTAAAAATTTTATAAGCCGCGTCGAATATTTTAAATAGAGAGGCAGGGTAAATATATTTTAAATAACAAATAAATAAATGAATTAGGTCCTTCGTTCTAGGGGCAAGGTGAGAGAGCATGTTGGAAGCAGCACACCAGCCTTTCATTGTGCATGT